TAATATACATTTGAACCAACTCCCAGTTTATCAAATCAAATAAGTAGTAAAATAACAAGAAATATTTAAACTTTATTTAAAAAAAGAAATAGATTTCAAATATATTTCATGATATTTCTTAAAGATGTTCGAATAAAACGACAATAATAGAGACAATAAGTTGTAAGAGAAATCAATAGTTATTATTTTTTGGGCAATCATAAGCCAATGAATTATGAAAATTATATAAAATAACCAATTTAATACAATTTGAACAGATTATAAGATATTCTAAGATTAAAAATATTTCCTATTTAAAAAAAATTAATAATTTTTTTATAAAATATTTAGTGTTATACAAATTGCAATCATTTTTATTATGTACTAGAAAAAGTACAAGTACGAGTACCTTGTTATTGCTCTCGGTTTGTTCAATTTTTCAAAAAAGAAAGAAAATTTGTTGAACCAAATAAAATTTTTATTGAACCAAAGTATAAAAGATTAAATATATCAAGAACTTTTATTCCATGTTATTTGAAAATTTTCATTTTTATTTATTTAAAACCAACAAAAGTAACACCATTTCGGAGAAAATCTTAAATAAAATTTACAGAGAAATAAAGAAAAATGATACAAACTAAAGAAAAACACAACATAAGATACAAAATTTTCTTACATCACGGATGTATAAAAAACAACAAAAAAAAAAAATTTTTTTTAACATTTCTAATACATGGAGAAATAGATAGTTACTATGCCACTGCTTGTCGAATGACTTTCTTTTCTAGTTTTTTTTTTTGTTGTAGGAAAAATAATGTTGCCTTAAGGACTATTATATTCCTATATAAAAGGAATTTTTAAGTTAAAAATTTACACAGAAAATATTTTGTTATCTACCTGTACTTCTCTCCTCAATTTTCATTTTCTTAGCGGTTAAGATTTCAACCACATCTGTTGCTTTTTAAATTGTTGAATGGTTTTATAATAAAATTAAATTAGAATTGCAAGACCTTTATCAGGTTATTGATATACCCGAAGAAAAATAAAAATTATTAGTTGAATATTTTTTCAGAAGGTTTTGTTAAAATTTCTTGTAGGAGCATTTAAAGTAAAAGGATTTCAAAGAGACATGCATTATATAATATGGCAATAAATTATTAAATTGTTTCAGTTTAAATTTAGTTTATGTTTTAAAAATATATGAAGCGATAGAAATTAAGAACAATTTTTTTGTTTGACTTTGGCTTTGATATTTTCTGGAATAAATAATTCAAATGAAATTTAACAGAAGGGGTGTACTGTAAAATAAATCAATTTGACATTCGTTTGTATATATACCCTCTTCTAAAATAATAAATTCATAACTCATCTTTCTTCTTAATGCAGTGTTAAACTAATCAAGAGGGCAGTGCGTTGGCTATTCACCCTTAATACATTTAAACTGAATTAAAATTACTCTACTAATGTGGTGAAGTACTTTTCTTCTTAGACTTCGAAAAAAATTAAAAAGTTGTTGAAAAAAAAAATTACACGTTACTTTACACGTTGGCTTACAGGACTTTTAATTTGAACCATTCAACATAAATCGAAATTGAAATTATAAAATTGGGACTATAGTTATTTACAAAATTGTAAAGTTGTATTCCGTCCCCACATCAATTAGTTACTTTTTTAGTTATGTTGAAATAAATCGACCTTGTAGATTGTAGATTCTAAGGGAACTGAGTGGGGACAGGAGCATCCCCCCAAGCCACCGCAGCCATTTTTGACTTATTGTAGCCACCCCACTCTCCCGTCTATAATATCCCCGTCCCAATCACAAAGCCGGAGATATCCCTAAGGGAGTTGGACAATAGTTCCCGAACACTTAGGGACCCATGTCCAAGACAATTGCGGCGCCGAACAGCCAGTGCCGGACAGTCGCAGAGAATGTGCACGGCGGTCTCATCGCCACCCCCACAAAATCTGCACAGGGGGGAGCCCGACTTCCCCAGCCTGTGCAGGTGGTATTTCACCGGGCAGTGCCCTGTGAAGAAATTCGCAATAGTGCGAACCCGGCTCCTGCTCATCCCCAGCAACTCCGCAGCGAATCCGCCGGAGCACGCCGGAACAAACACCTTCGCATGACGGCACCCTTTCGTGTCCCGCCAGTGACGACTGCATTCCGCCGCGAGTAGGCAGGCAAGCCTGGCCCCCACGGCGGAAGAAGGCAGACCACAGAAAGGCAGCGGCTGCACAAAGGCAGTCCCAGATCCCCTCCGCGCCAACTCATCGGCAACTTCGTTGCCCGCATGGCCACTATGGCCCGGCACCCAAATGAGCATCACTCTGTTTTCCGATGCCAATTCCATAAGTGCAGCAAGGCAGCTCCAGACCAGCTTGGATGTAACCTGAGCTGAACGGAGCGCCAGCAGTGCAGCCCTGCTGTCTGAGAACACATAGATGGTGCGGTTTCTATACCCCCTTTCCAAATTGATTCTCAGACAGATCTCTATTGCATGTATTTCGGCCTGGAACACTGTGCAATACGGGTCAAGGGTTGCATATACACGCGTGTCCGGGCGGACACCGTATACGCCCGAGCCCACACCCGACTCCGTTTTGGATCCGTCCGCATACCACACGCTCGAACCCGACCTAAGTACCGGACCACCCCGATCCCACGTCCATCGATCAGGAAACAGAACCCTGTACTTGTGGTCGAAGTTGTACCGCGGCAGACAGGTATCTGACATGGTTATCCTTAGAATCGGATCGCCCTCAATGAAGTCTCTGTGAGTTCTGTGGGCCAACTTTAGCCCTGCCCCGTCCTCGCCAGAGAGAAGTCGGTAAGTCACCAGCCGAGCTTCCTTCAATATATGGAGGTGCAGTGGCGGCAATCCGATCATTACCTCCAATGCAGCGGTGGGAGCCGTCCGCATCGCCCCGGTCACTCCCAGGCAGGCCAGCCTCTGTAGCTTTTCCAGCTTGGCCCGCACACCCGCCTGCTGAGCTTTACGGCACCATACAATCGACGCATAGGTGACGATGGGCCTAGCAAGGGCCGTATATAGCCACAGTGCTATTCTGGGACTAATTCCCCAGGTCCCCCCGATGAAGCTCCTACACGTCCACAAGGCCGCCGTAGCTCTCCCGATAACTCTATCGATATGGGTATTCCAAGAGAGACGATCATCCAGAGTTACCCCCAGATACTTCACCTCCCTCGAGTAACTAATACGTTCACCAAACAGAATTGGGCTCGTTAATCTGTCCCTGCTTCTGCGTCTGGTGAAGGCGACCAAAGTGCTCTTGCTTGGATTTATATTTAACTCAACGCCTTTGCACCACCTTTCCACAACACGTAAATTTTGCTGTAGAAGATCAGAAATAGTGCTCTCAAATTTTCCCCGCACGACGAAGGCCACATCGTCAGCGTATCCCCAGACACGCGCCCCGGAGCCCCTGAGAGCAGCTATTAGATCATCCACTACAATGGACCACAGGAGGGGCGAAAGAACCCCGCCCTGCGGACATCCTTTTGCAGCGGAGATGAAGAGTATATCGTCAGCTATGGTGGACTTAATAATCCTATCCTGTAGCATCCGATTGACCCATCTGCTAGTCGTCGCATCAATCCCTCGTTTGTGCAACGACTCACAGATGACATGATATGGGGTGTTGTCAAAAGCTCCCTCTATATCAAGGAAGCAGCCAACTGCTACCTCCCGCACTTCCAGTGAGTTTTCAAGGACCCCCACCAGACTCTGCAGAGCGAGTACAGTAGACCTTCCCGACTGATAGGCGTATTGAGATTCATGCAAGGGATTGCTTCCCAGTGCACCGTCCCGTATAAATCTATCAATCACTTTTTCCATTGCTTTCAATAGAAAAGAAGTAAGGCTGATTGGACGGAAAGACCTTGGGTGGTTGCTTGGTCGCTTACCCACCTTCGGAATATACGTCACTTTAGCCACCCTCCATGCCTGAGGGATGTAACCCCACGCATAGCTGGCGCGAAAAATTCCCAACAGTGCTCTAGCGATATGTTGGAAACCCCTCTGCAAAAATGCAGGATATATCCCGTCATCACCTGGAGATTTGAAGGGCCTGAAAGAGAAAACAGCCCATCTAATCCTGCCCATCGTGAAGACTAGACGGGATCGTAGCCAGTCATCCCTCCTGGGCCAGGGTGCCCCCGGTTCGATGACTGCATTTGAGTGATTCCGAAGAATCTCCGAGTCAGGAAAGTGCGTTGACGCCATAAGCTCCAACGTCTGCCTTCCGTTCTCAGTCATGGAGCCATCAGGACGTTCCATTAGTCAAAATCTAATCTACAATCTACAAATCGACCTTGCATGTCAACCTCAATATATAAGCATTCTAATTGCTATCTTTAATTCATTTCTGTTTGTATGTATTTACTAGGAATAGATATATGTATTGTGAAAAAGTAAATTGCTTGGATATTTTTATTTCTAATAAAATTATTACGTGTTCAACTTTCGAAAGTTATGTTGAGTAACAGGAACCCAGCAATGTTGAAGATAAAATAACGCGTTAAGGTTATATTATTAACCCTCCTAGTAAAAGTTTAATTGTTGAGTGAATTCGTCCAAGAATTTATGAAAAATCTTAAAATTGCTTTTTGAAATTATTTTCCACCTAAAAAATATAATTAAAGTAAATATTCCGAATTCCACCTAAATTAAAATTCCACCTAAAAAATATAATTAAAGTAAATATTCCGAAAATTCAATGTTTTACATAATTTACATGAATTCATTAATCTAAATTTCTAGAACAATAAGTATTGTCAATAGGTACTGCCTCAAAATAACCAAATCAGTTAAATACTCAATCAATCAAATTAATTACCCATGAAAATAAAAATTTCTTTTTCTACATAACAATTTTGATTAAGGATATTTAGGTTAAGGAGCTGTTAACGATATTATTAGTGCATATGCACGTTACACGATTTATTTTTCATACTAGAAAATTTTTCTAATTTTGTTGTTCTTTTCTATTGTTAATGCCCTTCAACATTTTCCAAATAACGTTGTTTTTAGAAAAGTTGGTTGGCTTTTAAAATTAAATAATTTAGAGGGAAAACTTTCACTTTCATTTAAACTATCTATATTTATTTATATATAAAATTTATTTTATTTTTATTTAACCTTATGCTTAGATTATTTGGTCAAAGATTCAGAACCTACTGACCGATTAAGTCAATAATGTTAAAACTTAATAAATGATAGTAAGAAAAAAAACTAAATTGAATTTTTTTTTCTTCTCTATTATTTTTATACCTTGCATCTTCGTGAAGGGTATGTTCCTTTTGGTATTGAGTGTGTAACCACTTGAAAGAGTCATCCGCCCAACGAACATTTATATATATTCTTGCTTAGCGCAAAATTCTGCATTTATTTAGACATGCTCGTCCGTCCGATCGTATGATAACTCAAAAACGAATAATGCAATCGACCCTATACTTCTACAAGATACCAAGGACGACTGTTATTGTAATTGGACCTACAAGATGCCAAGGACGACCGCTATTGTAATTGGACCAATTCAAACAACGGGTTCGGGTAGCTGCCATACAAATCAAAGAGGTTATTTTAGATATTTCCAAAACTAGCGATATTAATATCAAATTTTGTAAGGGTATATCCAATCGAATTCTACATATACTTGAAAATTTGTAACATCTGAACATTTGAAAGGTGCAGGGTATAATTCAACCGGTTTATACTGACTGAAAGTTTTTACTTGTTTTTGCTTCAATTTGCTTATTTCACTTTTTTAATCGGATTATCAGTACTCACAGGGCTTTTAATGTCTCACCTATTCCATATGGCACCTTTAAATTATCTATAGAACTTACACTGTAGTTAGTGATTTCTTATTTCTGAATAATGAGGAATTAATTTCTTTCTTTATAAGATTTTTTCAATTATATAGAATAAAGTTCATATGATATTGTTAAAGCATTTTAATCCTTCTCTCAATGATAGAAAAATACGTTTTATTCGATTTTTGTGAAATAGATTAATATTTTATAAAAATTTTAACTCACTTACCTTTTTCTTGTAATTGTTGCCGATTAACATCAGTTTTGAGTGTTTCAGCTGTATGGACAAGTTCATTTAATTGCGGTTTCTTTACTTCTAGTTCTCGTAAAACATTCTGGAACAAAAAAATTTATAAAAATTGCATTATATGAAGAAAATCAAAAAGCATTTTGTTTTAAAATTAACTAGTTTTTTGATATAAAAATTTTTATACTCAATTTATTTTACTAATTGAAAAACACATGGTTGAACCTACAATAATTAAAATACTTGTTCTGCACTAAAGACTAATAAAAAATAAACTAATTTGCATATTTCTATAAACTAAATTTGAAAATAGTTGACGAAGCTACATAATATGTATGCATTATGTGCGTATTACGTAAATGTTTTCAACACAATGTCGCCACATTTATCAGTAAATAAAAGTAAGTTTATGAAAACTGAAATAAATCTCTTGAATAAATAAAGTTATGTGTGCCTTTGAAAAAGAGGTTCTTACATTTTCATTTAAAAAAACTGCTTTTATGTCAATAAATTTTCATTAACGTATGCCATAGTATGAGTGTACATTTCAATATTTATGTTGATATTTACATTAACAATGCAAATATTAGATCAAATGTCTGGAAAGTTTTCTAAAAAATTATGTTCCGTGAAAAATATACGTATGTGTATTTGATCATTTAAAATAAATTTATCTATGCCTTTTTGTAACTGGCATACGCATAAGAAAAACAACACAATAAATCCATATTTGATTTTATACTTCTAATGAGATTTTAATGACTTACTTGCAAAATAGAAATCCTTTATTGTTTTATATTTTACTTATGTGGGTATTTTTCTTATGTTTGTATATGTCGAGTTCTATATTTGATAATTATTGTTAAATCAATTAGAAAATGTGATAAAAATTTCACTTTTGCGTTATAAATTTGAAAAAGTAAAATGGGTATATCTACATTAATACAAGTACATCTGCACATTCTTGTTATATTCATCGTACACAAGCACATATTCGTGTTTATTTTGTTTTACAAATAAATTAAAGTCAAACTTTGAAATAATAAGTGATGTAACACTTCAAAATATACCATATTATGTATTTTATAGAGAAGAAATTGAAAAACAAAATTTTTACATAATTCCATTGAATATTGGAATGTGAATAAGAGAAAGTAAGTTTGGATCAAAAAGAATTTTTCTTTTTCAAAACAAAAAATACAAAAGCATACTACCAGTTTATTGTAGTAAAATAATTATATATTTAATTGAAGAAGAATTTATAGCATGAACTGATCAATTTTACGACTTCAATATGACGAATTAACATTTTTTAACAAAAGACCAATTACGAGCCACAACAATTTCTGAATTTGACTTTCAAATTCCACATAAATTTAAACACAACTTAATATTATTATAAAATACTTGATTTTTTTGAACATTTGAAATAATTAGTTTTGCTTGTAAAAAATCCTCACTAAATTTGTACTATGTATGATTTACAATTTTATTAAATGTCTTATACACATTCTTACTTAAAATAAATATTTAAATTTTTGAACTTATAAATTCAAATTTTCGAATTATTAAAAAATATAAAATTCGTTACCACTTATTATCCTCTCGTTCAAATTTTCTTTTCGTTAAAATTTTATTAATTTAATTTATACGAAACACTATAAAATTATTATCTGAGGTTTGTGTCCAAACTAAAAGTAATACAAAAGTATGTATGAAAATCAAAAGCTTTTTTTTCATGAAAAAATTTCAAAATAACTGTTTATTACAAAAAAGGATAATATTTTTAATTTACTATAAGCATTTCACTTTCACCTCAAAGCTTTCGTTAATAAGGCAATAAAAAAGGTTCAAAATCGAGAAGAAAAACACTTCTAATGAAGCATATGCCTGAAGAAATAGTTTTAAAACTTAAGATTATCTATTTTATTTTTAGAATTTATTATTTTCAAATTACGTTCATATTTAAGTAATTGATACATACCTTTTGCTTTTCAATAGCTATCCGAATCGCATCAATATCACCAACTGGAATGCTCTGACTTTTGATCATATTCCGTTCTAATGTCAACCAATCTGATATCTATAAGAGAATATACAATCAATATCACATACATAATCAACATAAATAATAATAATAATAATAATAATAATAATAAAAAAAATTAAATAATGTAATATTATGTAATAATAATGAAAATTTTATATAATCACACAAAATTAAATAAGAATATCTTATTTTTTCCTTATTATGTAAGACAAAATATTATATACATATACATATATAAAAAAATGCTAAAAATAACCTCTAAGGGTATTTTCGTAATTGAATATTATACTCATATCACCATATTATAAATCCATAAAATAATATGTACATATATAATAAGCATTCATACATATATATGTGATTATAATATAAAAATGCCGATGAATATTCAAGGATAAATTCAATTTTTTTTCCATTTTTGTATTTCTCTTTTTCTTTGTTCTTAATTTTTGATTTTAATATCTTCTACGAATTTATAACACATCCTGATTTTTTATATAAATGAGCAATGAACAAAAAGAAGACAAAAAAAAAACAAAAAAAAACAAATAAAATAGGCGTAATCAAAAAACAACAAACATAACAACATTTATCTAATTATCCTGATAAAAACTTGTCATATACTTTCTTTCTCTCTAACTCTCTCTTTAGCATTTAATTTCTCTTTTACTCCTTGTTCATACACAATTTCTAAACATTTATCCTGTTACAATCCTGTTTATATCACGTTCATATACAATGAGAAATAATTTCCTTAAGGCGCTTTAGGTCACAGATTTTTATTTTTCTATTTTCATTTTTTCTCATTTTCAATTTTTACTTTTCCTTTTTTCTTCTTTTTTCTTTTTTCTTGTATTATTAAAATTTATATTCTTGTGTTAATTTTTTCCCTTAAATATTTGTTATATTTTTTCTTTGTTTCTTCAAATTTTTTTGCACACATGAAAGAAAGAATGTTTGCAATATAAGGAGAAAAAAGATGGAAAGATGGAATGGAAACACGTAAAGAAATAGAGAAAGAGAAAGAGCGAATAAATGTAAAGAAGAGTATAAAGAATGATGAGTGCGGGAAACTTAAAAAAAAAAAAATAATTTAAAAAATTTTGTTGGATGAGAGCTAACTTATTTCTGAAATCCTAATACAATTGGTACAGAAAGAGAGCGCTAAAAAGGACCAATATATAAACAAAACTTTAATGACGATAATGGTGAAAATGAAATAATAGATATGAAAGATTTCTTTTGATAATAACATTGTGTCTCTGTCTCTTCAACAATTATCCCAAAAAAAGAAACTAAAAATGAAAAAGCACGCAAATATAGTGAAAGTAGTAGAAAACGTGGTTGAAAGATGAGCACCAATAATAAATAAAATAAACAAAGCGAAAAAGAGAAAAGGAAACTTAAAAAGGACGAAAAAAATAAAAAGAAATATAAAAAAACGATAACATTTAATTTAACAACAGAAAACACAAAAAGATTTCGTGATAGGAAAAAATTTAAAGGAATCGAAAGTTATTTTAATTTTTTTTTTAATTGTAAAAGTGTTTTCAAGTTTTTTTCATATAATTACAAAATAAGAGCTTAATTTTTTTAACTAGAGAAATTCAGAATTCTTAAAAGTAATTTTTGAAGAGTAAATCAATAATATAAATTTAAAACTTATAATAGATTGTATAAGAAACGTAGAAATATTGCCCAATATCCTAAATATTCACTAATCATCAAACACATTAAAAACAAAGCTTAATTGTTTTTTTTACAAAATACTATAGAATTTATAATATTTTTAATTTTTTTGTAAAAGAAATCATCAACTTTATTGAAAATTTATTGAAATAACTACACATGTAAAGGTTTTTGATAAATTTTTTCCTTCATTAAATATTATAAGTAGCTTTCAACAATTAACATTATCTCAAATGAGCTCATAAAGAAAAAATTTAAATTTGAAAATATGCTTAATGCGATTTTCATTATTTTTATAATCTATGTATTTCTACTATCAAACAAATCACTACAATTCACAATTCATTTTTACATAGAATAAAATTAAAATAAGCCCAAATTCTTTACATTTTTTAGTATTATTTTTTTCAAATGCAGACAGAGAACATTTATGATGTAAACATATCAATTGTACCCAAATAATGTATACAATATTATAAAATTAAAATGGTGTTGTGGTAATATGATTTTGCACAAAAAAAAATACATCAAAGAGAACATTCCTGAATGAATTGAATCAGCAGCCACAACCATTTTTCAATACAATAAGCTTTCCCATTCAATACGTTATAAGAATTTTTATTTTTTTGTTACATCAATATTTTTTGTAAAAAATTCATTTATATTTTTAAATAAAAATTGAATTTTTAGATTTTCAAGACTTGAAAGTAGAATTGAAGTAAATTTCTTTTATTTTTATTTCATATAAAATTTTAATCTATTCACATTAGTTAAAAAATCTGTTGTATAATGCCTAAAAATTTATATTTTAATTTTGAATTAAAAACACTATTAATTGAATAAATTTGAAAACAATTACTATTACATTATTAAACGAATTTTCTTTTAAAAGTCAAATTTTCTTTCAAAAGCTTTAATTTCAAAGCCTCTTTTCGAAAACCTTCGAGCGTGGATTAATAAACGATTAATTTGAACTAAAAAAATGATGAAAAATTGCATATATTTCGACGTTAACTAATTTTCTTAAATATATCTACAAAAACATGTTGGAAAAGTATGAGCAGAAAAGTAACTTTTTGACTTATTTCAACTTACACAGCCTTCATTTTAGCAAAACGTTAAATATAATTTCTTCTTTTCTATAAATTTTATAGTTTTAAAAAATTAAAACTATAAAGAGTAAAACTCTTTAACTAATAAGATAAAATTCTAAAGAATAAATTCACCAATATTTTATTTAATGTTTGTAACTTTTCTTTCTAATTTAAATCATTAATGTAATCGGAAATTTTCAAAAACTATCAAATTTTAACCAAAAAGAGAGACGAAAAATCCTTTGATTACATCTTAGGAATTAATACTTCACAAATTAAGAAAAATAAAAGGACAAAAAGAAGAAGAAAAAACAAAATATCATTCTCTAATGTCTTTTTAACTTATTGCTGATTATTTTTGCATGAGTATGAAGACCCCAACAATTTACAAAGCATATCCTATCCTTTAACATCTTTTTATTATCTCACTTTGAAACATAAAAATATTTCTTGGTTTTGCGCTGCTTATTTTTTACGGAAAATTCTTTGTACAAAGTTTCCTTTTTTATTTATACTGCTTTGGGCTGTTATAAAAATTTATATATATATATATATTTGTTTTTGTTCCTTTTATTGAGAATCACAGGAGTTAAGAATCAGTTGATTTGTGAATACTTATTTTGTTTAGACAAATACAAAAGAGAAAAGTGTATCAGATGTAAAACATAAATTTTAGTAAACACAGAGTACAATGATCACAAGACCTTAGATGTAAGATAATATTATTTTCCTATAAAAATAAACGACAAAAGATTTTTTTAAATATTTCATAAGATTCACAATATCAACACAAAAACAGAATGAGCATTGTAAAAATATTCTAAATCAACATTGAAATATTGGCTGAGTTATTATGAAGATGGCATTTGTGTTCGCAACATTATCTGGAATTACTTAATTTAATTGAGATATAAAATAATTTACAATGTAAAGTAAAAATCATTTTCTATACATAGATACATTTTATAAGAAGAAGCGACACAGTCCTCTTGATTTTCACGTTTCAGGATGGAATTCTAAAATTCAAGTCAACTTAGACAAATGGATTCAGTTCGAAAATAAACTTCTTAAATGATTTATTTGTATTACGGTATTAAAGAACGTAATGTGCCACAAAACAGACGAGATTAAAACTTAGCCAAGAAATTTTTCTTAAATAATTATTAAAATGATTTTAATGATAAGCTTTATGATGACAGGCTTTTATCTACCAAATGCCATGGAAATGGCAAAAAAGACCTTTTTGTAATTTTAATTACTTTTATTTTTGGAAGAGACCATTTCGAACCGTTAGTAAACCAGATATAAGTTAATTTAAAGTTACTAATTTAGAGTTCATTAATTTAACAATAATTAAATGTGAAGTGTTCAAATAATAAACTCTAAAGTTACTAATTAAAAATTCAGGTCTTCTTTAAAACCTATCCGAACACTGGCAAATCAATTAATATGTCATAGAGCCGCTATTTATCTAAGAAGCATCCCTATTTATCTATTTAAATATGTTTTTTAACCACATTCATCTATTTTACAAGCAAATCTGATGAAATATTATTATGATGTTTACGATATTTGTCAAAAAAAATATAAATAAAATTTTCATGATTTTTTTTTTGTTCGTTTGTTTACGACCCGAGTGTGTACTTAATATTTACATTTAAAAAATAAGAAGAAAAAAAAATATTTACTTGACATGAAAGATTTTTATTACTTACCTGTAAAACGGATTTATCAAAAGTAGCAGTTAAATTTGAAGGTGAAAGTTTAATTGATTTCGATGGTTGTTGTTTTGCTGAAAATGATCCTGGTACATAGGAAGATGATGATTCCTTTGGTTTAGGACCTATAAAATAAAAATGAAAAATGTAGAAATTTATAAATGAATTTAAATTATAAAAAAAAATTTAAGAGATAATTTAAGAGAATTATTTAAAAGATTTAAGAGAATACAATCGTAAAATTCGAAAATAATTTTAATGTAAAACACATAACACGGATTCTTGGTGTTTTGGTTACAAACAAATTGTTGGAAAGGCTTTGATACAAGATATATTTGAGCAAGTTCATTTTCTCAATTTTATTAAATGTCGAATTTTTTTAATTAGAAATTCTATTTTACATTTTTAATTATTTTATATTTTTTCGGTTGAACTGTTAAAACGACATATTCAATTTGCATATTTTTTCATGTCATATAATTTGGCTTTTATTATCTATTTAATTTATTTTCATGGAAAGAATAAATATTAAATAGAGCTTGCTGGTGTTACAACATTTTGGTTTTATTTTTTAATAAACCCATAAAGATAACAAATATATGCGCATTAAAGTGTACTTTGTATTTTGTATGTCTGGTTTATGCAAAAATTCTTTTGATTTTAATAGTGCACAACACCTCTTTTATATACATAAAAAAAAAAAAAACACATTTTACAATCACATGAGAAAAAATGAGTACAGCAACATTAAAAATTTTAAAATTTAGTAGATGAAAAGAAATTTGCAGAAATGTTTTTTTTTTATAAACATTTACTTTAGGGAATTTATATACATAGCTCATAAGTATGTAGGTTAAAAAAGCTCACACTTGAAAGAATTTGTATTATTATTCCTTCAGAAACTTTTATATATACACATGTAATTTTAACAATTAAAATGGTAAATATAAAATAGGCTATTAAAATTGTAGATAGAAGAGATGAGATTTTAAAGCAATAATAAAACTATATCTCTAAAATAAATAGACATCTTACGCCTTTTCTAACACAATAAATCTAGATTCTTTTTAGAACTCATTTCAATAACTTTGCAAGCTATTAATCTATCTTTAACAATCTTTTGATTAATAAAAAAATAATTTACCGCTTTCGGGGTATTAATTTTCCATGTAATAATTTTTCGGATTCAAGTTCCGAATAGTGTTAAGTAATATAAGAATAAAAAGAAAATTAAATTTAAAATGATTCGCAGCTACTTTTTTTATAGCATCTTTTATACAAAGACACTTAATTGTCTCCAAAATTATGATTTGAATATTACCATTTCCCTCATGTGCGAAATTTTCATTAAATGCATGTAATAATTTTTATGGTGCATAAACCTGCAGAATATTCTACATGTACATATTTTAATACACTAAATTTTCTGACACAATATATAAATTGCTTTTTTTTTATTTCTCTCTATATATGTATCTAGCTACTAAAAATATCAAAAAAAAATTGGCTCACTTCCATATTACTTTTGACTTAAATAAGAGTAATAGAAGAATAAAAACTCATATTCATAAGAGTATTTATATATATCGAACATATCCTGAAATGAATATGTGCTAACTCAAAAAATGTGATTTTTGGGATTTGAAAAATTTGTTTGTTAACTGATTTGATGATGCACATTGATTTATATATTATTTACAGAATTTTCTTGAAACCGTCTTCTTGGAGTTAACACACTTAAATCGCAGCAACCGCACGATATGTAAGAATAAAAAAAAATTATTTATTACATATACATACATATATACAAATAGATACTATATTTAGAATATTATTTTGATCTTCTTGCAAGCTATATTAGAACCTTTAAATTGTATGTTCCATGTACCCTATATTAGATGCTCCGGATGCATAAAAACGATATTATATTATTTTCTTTTTTTTCTTTTTCTTAATAATTGAAAATTCATTTGAACTTTTTTTTTTCCATTTTGTGAGTCAAGAAATATTTAGGCCAAAATACAATAAAAATAAAAGAGGACAATGGTAAAAAAGAAAAAAACATGAAAGAATAAATATAAATGAAAATGATTTTCAATATAACAAAAATAAGGACAACAATAACGATAAAAACCAAACAACCAACACACAAAAACTAAAAAACGTATGAACAAACTTAAATGTAAAGCTCTATTGCCCCCCCCCCCCCCTTTTAACCATCACAATACATTCCTTCTACTAAGCATTTAACAATAAACACATTATAAAAATGTACAAGTATGATGCATTCCATCTATATACTCATATGTACTCATATAGGAACTCTATTGAAAACTTATGATTAAAAAAATATCTAGGTATATGCGTTTATAATAAGAGAAAGACAAGGATATGTTGAACACTTTATATACAGCATCCTTATTAAATATTTGTTTAAAATGGATATTTTTTTTTCCTGAATAATAATTTCTATGTATGTATATAAAAATCACAAAACAAAGAATATGTCCTTTATAAATAATTAACGAGGTGGAAATGTAATATGAGCAAACAAAAAGAGAAAAGCGAAATAATGACATTGTGATCTTTTATTCTTTAAAAAGACGAAAGTTACCATTTTACGAGTTATAAAAACCTTATGCATTTCGTAATTATTTTTAACGACATATGAAACCCAATACATTTTTTTTTTTTGCGAATTTATAAACTCTATTTATAGTCCAAAGAATAAAAACTAAAAAAAATTTTGAATCATAAGCAAACATTTATGACCAGGTATCAGGAAAAAAAATACTTGGTTATGAGTTTGTTAAGGGCTAGGAAACTAAAAATAACTCAAATATTCCTAAATACCCCAATAAGCAAATAACGCATTCGTCAGCAATCAGTATGAGGAAAAGATTAATATTTCCAATTGAATAAGGAAGGCTAAAAAATATTATGACCTATATGTGTCGAATAATCGAAACCGAGGGATTTTCCATTATTATTCAATCGCTTGCCAATGACTGGGTACTATTGAAAAAATAATCAAATTTTTTAAAAGTATTAAATTTGTTCCGAATATGCATTTTTTTTTTTGGCAAAAAAAAAATAGATTTTTACTTGATAATTAATGTACACATGTTTATATCTTGCATATTTAAAATGTAAAAATATATTTTCAGACACATTTTGTTTTATTGATAGTCTCAAGGTCTCTTATATTAATGTGAATATGAAATGAAATAGAAATTTGTAACCTTATTTAATCAGAGGAAAGAAAATTTTTTTATTCACACATCTAAAGGGCTGCTTAATTTCATGGGTAAATAAAATATGACAAGGATAAAGAGTAAATTTTGATATAGAGGATAATTCAAATTTTTAAATACACAACAACTATTTATTGGGGACTAAGAAAGAAATCAAAGTGGAGGCAGTCGGAGCGGTGAAGGAGAAGGAGACTGTAAGAATTTAAGAAAACTATAGGGGCGGGCAAGAATCAAGTGAAAATTCTCATTGGGGCAAAGTTATAGGGCACTTCAGCAGACTGGGCTTGGGAAGTGAAGGCACTTGCAGGTTCTATGAATAAGAAGGGAAACACTGGGGACTCTGTTCACTCGGCGGCAGAGTGGCAGTCCTACGTGCCTCTCAAAATGCTCGTTAGATCCTTTTATGTGTTCGCGGTGCAGTGTTACCCCGATATTTCAAATCTACAAATCTACAAAAATATATGGCAGTTTAAAATAAAATATTACAGTTCGAATTGAAGTGTTCAAATTATATTTTTAAGATATTGTTAAAATAGGATTTCGTTTCGGATATTTTTAAATATTATTAAATAAAATAGTTTAAACAGAAATTAGGAGTACCAAAGCAACTTTCAATTCTGACTAATTGTCGTCATTTTCATATTTTATAAATACATACCTTAGTTATAAAAATTTAAAATATATCGAAAATAAATTTAAATATCTCCTCATAATTTTAATTGTTAATCGAAAAATATTCTGAAATTTCATGCCCTTCCATTCATGTAATTACATATTATAGAAATTTAAATTTTTAAAGATTCGTTTTTTCTTACCTTTATTTCTAAATTTCGCTAAATTAGTCTTAATATTTAAAAATTACTCACTCTTAAATTAGCCCAGATATTTTAAAAAATCTAAATTAATTTTTCTTTACTTTCCCAGAAACCTATAAATAATAATTTATCTAAATATTTATGAAAAATTTATTGTTTCTAACACAATAAAACTAAAATGCCACGAAATAAAATTTAACATCTTTATAATTTAATTTACAATTGTTACAAGAATTTTATATTTAATACTAAACATGCACTTTTAATCCCCGACCAACAATTATACCATCTCAAATTAAATTTATTTCTACTGCAAATTTTGGGTATTCCCTTTCTAATTTTTCAAAATCCTTATATTAATATATTTAATCTGCATATTATAAATTTAAATTAAATTATTTACATTTATCACAAAACCACGAAAGCTCATAATGTTGTGGTTTATTTTCCCTATGTTAATTAAAATTTAAATGAAAAATACTCCTACACGAGCTTTCTATATACATATATTATATGTCCACTATCCTATGGAATATATTAGTACTATATTTATACAAACATAACAATGCATACTTATTTTAAATTGAAAAAAGTTGATTTGATAATACGCTCAAATTTATTCTCTCTTCAATGAACAAAAGATATATTCAAATGTAGAGCAAATGAAATCGAAAGAACAGACCATTTTTTTCAACTTTAGATAACTTTTAATTTTTGCTCTATGAATTTTTTGTTTAAACATTGAGTTTCATTAAATGTTAGTGGAACGATAGAAAAAAAAAGTCTCAAAGGTAACAAATTTTATTGTGGTCAAATTGACAGCAGAACGTATACGAATTTATTTCACTCACCTAAATCTATTATCTATAGAAGACGCTAAATTACCACAATATAAATAGTTTAAAATTTTACAACATTTTCTCATACCAAAATTTGAAACTACTTAAATCCCTTATACGGCATTTATTCGTGTTATATTAGGACTATAGGCCCGCCGATAAAACTTCACCAGCATACGCTTATTTCAAAATTACCCAAATTCATTCAAAACGTCAA